ACTCGCGGCTCATGTGACCGCTTTCGCCGCAATTGAAGCAACTGTTGCCTCCGCCGCCTCCTCGCCCACCACCGCCTCCTCCACGACCACCGCCTCCCGAGTAGCCATTGCTGGTGGCAGTCGTGCCGCCGGAGTCCCCCCAGTCGTCGTCCATCGCTGTCGCCGCCTAAGAGTGGAGACAACAGACAGTGAGTGACCGGCGAAGACATCACCAAACAGTGGTCATCGCTCACGGCTTTTGGTGCGGCACTGGCTGTGCCTCCCGTTCCCCAGTCATCGCCCCAGTCGTCGGCCATTTCGCAGCAAATCTACTGATAATATGAATGCAAACTAAACTGCAATTCAATTGAATTGTCAGCAATTGGTTTGCCGTCCGACTAATGCTTTCAATGCTTTGTCTCTCACTCTCGCACTAACACTAAGCGACTGGTCGTGTGGTTCAGTATAACAGTAATCAAAGTCTCGCTGTGTTTGAGCGCCAATTGTGTGCTAACCCACAGACACTCTATCGCAGGGCTTTGTAGACGATTTGCAGTCACAGTCAGTGCTAATCGTCTAAACAAAAGGCACCCATTTGTTGGCATTAAAAAATGATGAAATTCTGTGCCTAAAGGTCTGCTTTTAAAAGTACAGTAATTTAACTGTAATATGAGAGCGAGAGTCCAATGTGTTTGTCACGAAATTGCAAATGCATTTCGTTTGGCGGCCTCTCATTGGCTGCCTGTGTGTGAGAGAGTGACTGTTCAATGGGACTGTCGGTAAGTGTTGGCAACACTGACACTGACTGTGAAATACCGTTAAAAGTACAGTAAGTGGAGTGAACTGTGACACTGACACTGACGGCAATATGACACACATATGACACACATATGACACAACTGTGGCACTCATTCACTCATTTGGCGCTCACTTTGAATGCAATACTTGTGAATAAAATGCAAACATTTATGAAAACAATAATAATTTAATTGAATTTTAGCTGAATTTCTGTACAAATGATTAATGAATACAATAATAGAGTTGTTATTAAATAATGATTACAATTGAGTGTTAAGTCTATAGACTGTAATGAATGGCATGTAAGCACCAAACGTGATGTAACTTACAGTTAATTATTATTATCATTGAATATGTCTTATAAATAATTTACAATTTGTATGAACGCGCGGATCAGTTGCGGTGACAATGACTGGGATTGTGGTGTCGGCGCAATGGTCCGCGTGACCATGAATTTGATGCCAATCGTGTGACAAATGTATACAATATTATTACTTTTATAATCATCTATTTGTTAATTAAATGCTATGCAATATGAATCTAATGTTTAGATTGATTTACAGTTCATTAGTCTTTGTGTAGATTATCTCCAGAAGTCCAAGAAGTGGTGGTCACATGATAATTAAATATAATATACGACTTGTATATCACAATCAAATGAAACAAAACTCAAATATATTAATAGCTATACTTTAACCGCCGCTTAACTAAACTCCACATCACTTGCGATACAATTGAGTNAAACTCAAATATATTAATAGCTATACTTTAACCGCCGCTTAACTAAACTCCACATCACTTGCGATACAATTGAGTCCTATTTCATGATTATATGGAGTCGTGTCCAACACATGACACCCCCGCAGGCCATCGCGACATGTGACCGACCAGTGAGTCATATGCGGTCAGTGCCGTCATCATCGGTGGCCTACGGGACAGCCATGTGTTGACTCACCACTGCTTATATCAGTTAATCACAGAATCATTGATAATTGAAATGATAATAATTATAACTAAAATTGTAATTAAAAAACATGTGAAATGAACAAAACATTTGTATAAAATGTAAATAAATTATAAAAAGTGAAAATCAAATCTCATAGAAGAAGCGGCGGTCAGTAAACAATAAGTGAATAACTAATAGATGTGATGCCAATCTTGTGTGAACAAAACACATTCAAAGTGTCGCTTAAAAAGGGCACAAATTTAGTGAAAAGTGGTCTGTGGTTGGAACCAAAGAGTGATTCAATCGAAAAGACTTTTTGTTGTAAAATTCAGATCTTTTTTTATCGACGAAAAGCTTAAATGAGATCTCATTTTAGTATATATTTCGCTGTTTTGGACAAATTCTAAAGAGTGGCCAAAATAATCATTTCCGCAAAATATATTATTTAATTTAAATATACTTTTGGCACAAACTATTCAACATTTGACCATTTGTTCAAAAAATTAAAATTTAGTCTAAATTGTCATTTAAAAGGCTTTTAGAGTCCACTCTTTGGTTATCCATACAAATGATTGAAACAATAACTGATTTCATGATAAAAGCGATCATCAGATGAATTAAAAGGGAATTTCTTTTACTACAGTATATCTGATATGCTTTGGCATTGACTCTAACGATGATTAGCTGCACTGCTATTGAACTCAAAAAATACTAAAATTCATTTGTTTTCAGTCACTAAATAGCAAGTAAATTATAAAAGTTAATTTATGTTATGGTTAGTTCCCTTCAAAAAAGTGATGACAATATTTCATTCAATATTACATTAAATATTTCTTTTCGATTACAAAATTAATTATTGTCTCAAAAGTATTGAAAGTATTTGAAAGTTTGAGAAAAGTGTTATTGTATGCACGATATGACCA